AAACCCAACCCTGAAATACGCGATTTGTTCAGTGAAAATCCACATGTGTCGATCGAGAATCGCCAAGATCTGATTGGGAGCCCATCAGGATCCAAGAAACCCAGGGCACCCTGGCAAAATCCAACTGGTTTCTTGGCACGCACCCCCATTGTAGGTCAGGCCGATGACTGTACTTCTCCCCCCCCCCCCCCGCCCGCTGGCGTATCGTAATGTCTGATTCTGAATCCAACCAGTGGCATTTCCTGCGCTCCAGGCGCCAAGTGCCGCACCCGTGTCCGATGACTTTCAATCTTGCCGTCGAGAATTTCATCTCTGACACTAAACACGAAGTGTTTGAGGAGTGCAGGCGTGCGAGGCATCGGGTTTCATCCCTCGGCCGCCCCACCAATTTGAACGGGGTTGCTGAGCTGGCGCTGGATTTGCTCCGTAATTCACCAGTCGGCGCCTGCATCACTGACAAGGACGGTGGTTTTGCCGTGCTACCGAAGGCCGCCATCCACGAAGAGAAACTCAGAGTTCTGGCTTCTGATTTCTACTCCCGCGTAGCATGGCACGAGGAATTTGCGGTGGAGGCGATGACTGAATATTGTGAGGCCGCCCAGAGCTTCGACGACGAAGACCTGGTGAAGGCCCTCCTGCATGATTATCGTTCTCTGCCCACGCGGCTGTTTTCTGTGCTTGCCCTGACAGTGAAAACTCACAAGCCTGCTGGGCAAGTCACCTGCAGGGCGCTTCATTGTAGTTCGCGGCATCCCATGCTTCCGGGCATGCGCTGGGTAGCGTGGAGGTGCAGACAGGTTCTCCAACGGTTGCCGCACTTGCTAACTAATACAGAGCAGCTGCAACGTCAGCTGTCGGCCCTTACGTTGCCTCGGGGTTGCGTGTTCTGCAAACTTGACATCAAAGACTTTTACATGTCAGGCGAGCATGGCCTTCTCATTAACGAGTGCGCGAGGCACATCGCTGAGGGCCGAGAGCATTTCCGAGCCATGTTGTCCAGCATTGTCCGTAACCAATATGTATGTCTGTCTGACGACTTTGACGCACACCCGTTCGTGTACAGGGTCCTTCGGGGCACCGGTATGGGCTTGTGCTGCAGTGGCGAAGTCTCGGATCTCGTGTTCTACAGTACGGTCGAGGAGCCGTTTGTGCTCCGTTCAGACATCAGGCGCGAGTACGGCATTGTTTTCTATGGCCGATTTCGCGACGACATTCTGTGCATCAGCTCTGGACCAGACCTGCTTCACGAGATGTTGCAACGCATGCAGGCCCTGAGCCGTTGCTTCGATTTGACGATCGATTGCATCGACCCTGTTCGCACGATCATGTTGGATCTTAGTCTTAGTTTTTGTGACAGAGGTGACAATGTTGCCGTGGAGCACGCGGTGCATGTGAAACCCACTTCCGTTTGGGTGCCGTTGTGTGACTCCTCGGCCCACCCGCCGCACGTACACGCATCCTGGCCGAAGGGTTTTGAATCCAGGTTGCGGCGAAGATGCACGTACCGCCGCACTGCCGACTCACATGTGGCTGCGTTCAGGGACCGTCTTCAGAAGGCGTGCCCAGGCCACGTACATTTGCAAGATCATCCGAAGCCGTCGTCTATGACTCTCGCCCGCCCTCGCTCGCGGGTTCCACCTAGCAGGCTAATCGTTCCGTACAGGTTTGACTGGTCTCTTGCACGCATTCCCAGGGCGGTCAAACGTGCTTTCGTTCGGTGGAGACCGGATGACCACCTCAAGCTTCCATTCACGATGTGCCCACAAATCTCGTGGAGGCTGGGGGGTCGCCATTTGGCCCGCACCCTCACGAAGTATCAGCAAGATGATGCTGATGACATTTGCTTGTTTAAAATCTTTCGGAGGTGCTAGGGGTAGGTAGGAGGGTTCAGTCTTGTCTGGGTCTTCGGCACCAGGCCGTTGAGTTCCAGCTCGAAGCCGAGCAGCCGTTGCGACTAATTCGGCATATTTTACTTTCAATCCGTTCCATTGCAACTTCGGCTCTATCATCTTGCAGCGCGGAGAGCGCTTAGCACCGAGGCCACATCCCACCTTAGCAGAGTGGTGGGCCGCGCATAACAGCAAAAATCGTCCACGTCTTGAGTCAGTTACTGCACCTCATTCCTCCTCGGTATCCTGCTCATCGAGCTCCTCCTCGTCCTCCCCATCCTGCCCATCGTCATATTCTGCTGTTCATCCTTTTCCTCCCCCCCCTCCACCGTCCACGCTCCTACAGTGAGCGGCTTGAATCAGGAACACTTGCTTTTCAAAAGGGGCTCGGTCGTTCCTTAGGCTCGCGTGCGTTGTTTACAATTGCTCATGCGTCATGGGTTATTCCTCGTTCCTGATGCGTTGTTCCTTGGGATAGAAAAGGGGCTTGGTTCCTCATTTATCGTTCCTTACAATGGGGGCTCGGCCACAGGAAACCTCCGCAAGAAACCCAACCCTGAAATACGCGATTTGTTCAGTGAAAATCCACATGTGTCGATCGAGAATCGCCAAGATCTGATTGGGAGCCCATCAGGATCCAAGAAACCCAGGGCACCCTGGCAAAATCCAACTGGTTTCTTGGCACGCGCCCCCATAGTAGGTCAGGCCGATGACTGTACTTCTCCCCCCCCCGCCCTGCTGCCCTCCCGCTGTGCCGCCTGGCCGCCTCCTCCTCCTGCTGCCTGCCCTGCCGACCCTCCCGCTCCGCCCTTCGTCGGGCCCCTCTCCCCGTCCTCCTCCCATCCTCTCCCCATCGTCTCGTCATTGTAAGTGCAGTCGGGGCGTTGAGCTAAGGAACCCTACATCAGGAACGAGGCCCCTTCTCTCCATAAGTTAAGCTTCGAATTCCGATCGAAGACCTAAGGAAAACCTAAGGCGAGCTGCAAAACAACTAAGGAACACGGAGCCCCTCCCCGACGAAAAGGGTTCCTTCTTCAAGACCCCTACTGTATCGTTCTGGGTCCAGCCGCTCAGCCCACCCCGCACCACCCCCGCCCGCCAGGGACCAGCCACAAGGGAGGGCCTCCCCGGCCTCGAGCCCTTTAGAAAGGAGGGGGAAATCTAGGATATACCCCCCAGGGCCTGGGATCTACCCTTTGGGCGAGAAGTTGCCTGTACCCCTATCGAGGATCGGCGCTCCCCTGGTATATCCCAGGCTTTGGTCTCAAACAGGTTGCGGAACTTTAATTGTTGGGTTGCATTTTTTCGGGGGGGGCCCTCCCTACCGCCTGGGTGCATCGTCATCACCCACGGAGCTGGGATCCGCGCGTGCCAGAACGGCGAGCAGTGGCAGCGGGCGCTGGCGCTGCCCAGTATGGAGTGCGGGATTCGAGGTAAGTGTCCGACATCATCGGCTGCAACGCTAGGATCAGCGCTCGCGGGATTGGCGGACAGTGGCAATGGGCTTAGGCGCTGCCCAACGGGTGGCAGGAGGCAAGCGAAGCTGGAACGTACTGTCATCCGTGTGACCTTTTGGGACACCCTTCGGGTGATCAAGAAAATACCCAGGGACGCAGCAACGAGGGAAAATGGCGGCCGAGACTGGGGTGGACTGAAAAACCAGAGGCTGGCGAGGAAAGACGAAATGCGGAGGAGAAGCGAAAGGAGAGAGAAGGAAGAAGGCGGGCACAGGGTGGTGGGCTCTCCTCGCGCTTGAGCATTCTACCCACACAGGTTCCTCCCATGATTCTTCCTTTCCCGTCCTCCTTGCCCGCTTTCCCTCCTGCGCCCGCACCATCTTCGGCGCCCTCCTGCCCCCTTCCCCTCCTCCGCCCTCTGCATTGTTCTCTGTTCATCGAAATTACCCTTCGGCCGCAAAGTCGGGGGCTGGGGCGACACATCGCATGTGATCCTGCTCCACCTGTGTACGTCCTCAGAGCGGGCCATAACACGAAAAGGTGGAATAGCTTGGGGAACGGCACGAGCATCACGCCGGCGACGACGAACCTCTCCTGGACTCTGGAGCCCCTTGCCGGACCAGGCCCGCGGTCTCTTGCGAATGGTGGGCTCGATCTCGTCGGGGAGACAGTGAGTACTACAGAGCACCAGGGTCGAAGGAGGAGAAAGAGGAAGGATAGGAGGAGGAGAAAGAGGAGGAGGAGGAGGAGGAGGAGGAGGAGGAGGAGGAGGAGGAGGAGGAGGGGGAGGGCGGTTGCCCAGGGCGCGCATGTGGAGGCCTGCTGCGGGCCCGGCGCCTTTTGCCATTGAGAAGTTGGAGCTCGCCCGGTGGGCCAGGGGCTTCTCGCCGTGCACGGCGGCAGCGCGCGGAGCACGAGAGGAATCGAACAACTTTGAAGGGGCCCACAAACACACAAAAAAATACACACACATAAAACCATTCCCCATGTTTTCCCAGATGTTCTGGGTGTCTGTCTTCCCTCCCACTTCCCCTATTCTCCCATATTTTCCAGGGGATCGACGATGAATTGTGTCTGTGTGTTTCTCCCCCTCCTGAGCGTAGCAAGGCGCACGAGCAGAGCGTTCGTGAACCGAGCCCTTCGCGCAGGAGATCGGATACGCGTCGGATCAGCAGGGCGCGCACCATCTGCCAGCCACGAATCTCGGCACGTCGAACTTGAGGCGGGCAGTGGCCTCCAGGGCTTGATGAGCCTCGCGCCACCCTCGTATCGTGGACGTGGCTGCTAACCACAAGGCTATATATATATATATATATATATATATATCTACATCTATATATATATATATATATATATATATATATATATATGTACATGTATATCTATGTATTCACTCCGCAGCCCCAGCAATCCCGACCCCCTCGCTGGGGGTAGTTTTCAGTCCCAGACTCATTCCTGAGGGTCCGTGGGGCCGATCCCTCGCCCCAGAGGCTGAGATCAGGGCAAAGCGCAAGACCTGAAGAATCATGTCGCTCGAGCTCGGGGGAGGGCCGCCAGGGCCCGCCAAAGGCCACCAGAGGCCGCCGAAGGCTGCCGTCGGCCGCCAGGGGCTGCCGAGGGCCGCCAGGGGGCGGCGCGCGCGTGGGCCCGCCGCCTGGCGGCGGGCTGAATGGCGCACGCCGCGCACGCGGCGGCGGCCAGCAACTGCCGCCCCGCCGCGAGCCCTGGCCTGTCGTCGGGGGCCCAAACGGCCCGTCGCAAGCGTCGGCGTCGTTGGTGGTCGTCGCTGCCGTCCTCGTCGTTCTTCGGCGTCCTCGTCCTCGTCCTCGTCCTCATCCTCGTCGTCGTCGTCGGCGTCGTCGCCAGCGTCGTCGACGTCGTCAACAGCGTCGTCGTCGTCGGCGTCCCCAGACCACCGGCGATATGACTTGTGTCTACCAATGCTTTTTTAGATTTCGGGCCTCGACGGCCATGTTCGGGACCCGGACAAATCATGAAAAGTCCTAGACAAAAAACAACCCCTGGGGTCTCAAGCTCTTGGGCCGCCGATCGAAAAACAACATATTGGAGGACGTCTGCGTCGGCGTCGTCGTGGTGGTCGTCTGTGCCGTCCTCGTCGTTCATCGGCGTCGTCGCATCGCAGGCGGCGGCGTCGGCGTCATCGGCGAGTCGTCGTCGTCGTCGTCGTCGTCGTCGTCGTCGTCGTCGGCGTCGGCGTCGTCGTCCTCGGCGTCGGCGTCGGCGTCGGCGTCGGCGTGCGTCGGCGTCGGCGTCGGCGTCGGCGTCGTCGTCGTACTCATCGTCGCCGCCGTGGTCGTCGTCGTCGTCGTGGGCGTCGGCGTCGTCGGCGTCGGCGTCGTGGTCGTCGTCATCGGCGTCGGCGTCGTCGTTGCCGCTGGCGTCGTCGTCGCCGTCGGCGTCGGCGGCGGCGTGGTCATCGTCGTCGTCGTCGTCGTCGTCGTCGTCGGCGTCGTCGTCGTCGTCGTCGTGGTCGTCGGCGTCGTCGGCGTCGGCATGGGCGTCGGCGTCGGCGTCGACGTCGGCATCGGCATCGGCGTCGTCGTCGCCGCTGCGGGCGTCGTCTCCGCCGTGGTCGTGGTCGTGTACGTGGTCGTGGTCGTGGTCGACACCGTCAGCGTCGGCGTCGTCGTCGTCGTCATCGTCGTCGCCGCCGTCGTCGTCGTTGGCGGCGTCGGCGTCGGCGTCGGCGTCTGTGTTGTCGTCGTCATCGTCGTCGTCGGCGGCGGCGTCGTCGACGTCGGCGCCCCCAGACCCCCGACGGTGTGATTTTCTGCAAGCACTATTTCTTAGACTTCGCCGATGCATCGCCATATGCATCGGGGATGCGGCGCGACCTTCCGACCACACGTGGGAGGCCTCTAGCAGAGCGCCAGGGGCGAAGCACCCAGAGCTTCGGGCCACGACTCGGGTCTCCAGCGGCGTTCGGGACGATCTGGGCACCCCTCGACGAGGCGCAGTCGCTGAAAGGCAGCCCGAGGCTGGAAAGCAGCCCGAGCATATTCGGACCAGAACGAGAAACCATCCCTGGGGCCAGAACATCTTGGGCCGCGGAGTAAGAAGCACCACATCGGAGGATGTCTGCATCGTCGTCGTCGTGGTGGTCGTCGGTGAGGTCCTCGTGGTCATCGGCGTCGTCGCAGGCGGCGGCGTCGGCGTCATCGGACAGTCGTCGTCGTCTTCGTCGTGGTCGTCGTCGTGGTCGTCAACGTCGTCGTCGCCGTCGTCGTAGTCGTGGTCGTCGACGTCGGCGTCGTCGCGGTCGTCGTCGTAATCGTCGTCGTAGTCGTCGTCGCCGTCGTCGTCGTCGTTCGTCCTCGTCCTCGTCGTCGTCGTCGTCGTCGTCGTCGTGGTCGTCGTCGTCGTCGTCGTCGTCGGCGGCGTCGTCGTCGTCACCGTCGTCGCCGCCGTGGTCGTTGGCAGTGTCGTCGGCGTCGGCGTCGTCGTCGGCGTCGGCGATGCCATCGTCACCGCCGTCGTCGTCGTTGGCGGCATGGGCGTTGTCGTCGTCGTTGTTTGCGGCGTCGGCGTCGGCGTCGTTGTCGTCGTCGCCGTCGTCGTCGGCATCGTCGTCGTTGTCATCGTAGTCATCGTCGTCGTCGTCGGCGTCGGCGTCGTCGTCGTGGTCGTCGTCGTCGCAGGCGGCGGCGTCGTCGTCGTCGCCACCGTCGTCGTCGTCGTCGTCGTCGTCGTCGTCGTCGTCGTCGTCGTCGTCGTCGTCGTCGTGGCGTCGGCGTCGTCGTCGGCGTCGGCGTCGGCGTCGGCGTCGTCGTCGTCGTCGTCGTCGTCTCCGTCGTCGGCGGCGGCGGCGGCGGCGTCGTGGTCGTCGTTGTCGTCGTCGTCGTGGTCGTCGTCGTCGGCGTCGTCGTTGTCGTCCTCCTCATCGCCGCCGCCGCCGTCGTCGTCGTCGTCGCCGTCGTCGTCGGCGTCGTCCAGCTCCTCGCCTACCTCCTCATCCTGCTCCTCCTCCTTCCCCTCCTCCTCCTCCTCCTCCTCCTCCTCCACCTCCTCCTCCTCCTCCTCCTCCTCCTCCTCCTCACACGTTCCCCGTCCCTATCTCCCTGGGAAGAACAGCTCCTCGACGTCGCACCACCTGGGTGTTGGGCCGGGCGATTCGGCGTAAAACCTGCGCGCAG